ATGACTCTGAAATGTCTGATGTTGACGTTAATTTTCATTATAAAGTACATTTCCAAAATCTGTCTTACTACTTGTTCTATCTACATCTACCTATTCATTCATTCTGTCAAACATTCAGTCTGTCCATCATTCATTCAATTCATTCACCATCCATTCATTACATTTGTCTGTCTACCAATCCTATAGTTTATTCATTCACTTGTCTACCATCTATCTCTGTCCATTAGTTCATCCTTCCATCCATCCATCGGTAAGTCTGTCTATTTACTATCCACTTGTCCATCCATTTATTTATCGGCACCCATTCAATCAATTATTCATCTATTCATCTGTTAAATTATTGGCACCCATCCATTCATTTATTCATTCATTCATCCACTCAGACACTCATACACTCATTCATTCATTTACTCATTCATTCATCCACTCAGACACTCATACACTCATTCATCCATTTATTCATTCATTCATCCACTCAGACACCATACACCCATCCATTCATTCATTCATTCATTCATTCATCCACCCAGACACCATACACCCATCCATTCATTCATACACTCATTCATCCATTTATTCAATCATTCTTCATCTTACCAGGAGTAATGCAGTTAGAGTCAAATCTTTCTTCTTTTGGTAGAATTTGTCCTTTCTCCAAAGCTCTACGAATATTGTCTTCTGCTTCCTTAGCAGATCTGTACCAAAAAAAGGTTTTTCTCATTTTAATGTTACTTATGGCTGTAATTGTGAGAATCTTGCATAATGCCTGATAAGTCACAGGTCATGACAACTAGCCAAATTAGTTTTAGCTTGGTCATACCTGTCCTACCATGTGAGCTGAGTGTTGTATGTCGTAAATATAGAATGTAGTGGTAGTGCAYGTGGAGTGAACCTCACAGAAAAGCCTGCAGGGGGAGTGATGGTCATAGAATATAAGTCTTAACTGTATGACTTTATGAGGTCTCTACCTGAACCGTCTTCCTCGTTGTTGATTCATCTTTGCCCTTGGGGCTACACCATCCACTGCCATGAAGAATACCTTCTTTGGTTTGATAATTTGAAATAAAACCTTGAAATACAGTAAGAGAGAAAATGTACATGGATCACTAAAAAAACTCCTTAAAATACACTATTCATGCTAATCAACTTATCATCTACAGTGTAGCTATAAATTACCATAAGGACTCAAACTTACTTCAATATAGTGAAAAATGTTTCTGAAAATCTGTTCTTCTGTAATCCTAAAATGAGGGTCGTCGTCATTGGGATGCGAGCAAGGATGGATTATACCATTCATATCGAGATAAAGGTTGTCGAATTCTGGTATCTAAAAAATAGAATTAATAAATATCATTGCAGCTACAAGTGCATGTAGGTAAACAGTCGATAGATAGCACATTTATAACTTTTAACATATTGCACTCAAGACTGTTTAAAAAAATCGGTTGAAAGTTTCTTTAAAAAAGTTAAATAAATGTCCCTGAAGWTGTTTAAATGGTTTTATCTCAAGCCTCAAGACCTCAATACCACTGCAGAAGGCTTGAGATGTAGCTTAAAAATCTCCACAGGGAAATTATGTAATTTTAAGGAATCAGAAAGAACATTTGTGAACCCCACAACTGTGATAAATAATATAATAATTATTGTCCCTGGTATTTTTAACATTATCACCACCTCATTATCATCATCATCTTCAATGTCATTGCCATCATCAACATCCCCTTCAACACTATCACTGTCATCCCTATTATCACCTACACCATCTTCACATCACTATCATCATCATTGCCACCATCGATCATCATGATTGCTTTCATCATCATTATTTGCCATCACATTCTATATATCATCATCACCATCATCGCCACCAACATATAAGCTGAAGCTTATAAGCTACATAAGTAAATACCCATCACTGCAAGACTTTGGGGTGGGGGGATAAAATAAATATGGAATATAACTATGGGGAGAGCTGATACAAATGTATCACATTCATTAAAAATATTAACCTAATACTCAGCAGAAATTAAAACCTCACAAAAACTACAACCACTTAACTATACAACAATTCAAATACTGTAACCTACAGTCCAAAGCCCAGTAATATTGATAATATAATAATAATATCTGACCTGATGTTCTTGTACCACTTGACTCAAACATGGATACCTCTCGCTTACCCATCGATAAAACTTCGGGACACCCATCTTAAATCAACGCTATTTACAATAAAAAGACTTCAGACTTTAAGATATAGGACGTATTAAGGCAGAACGTTGTTTTAACAGTATCATGAATGAGATTAAGTGGAGTTTTTAGACGAACTTCTGGAGAAAAAATAGTCATTGAATTCCAGGAATCACATGTTGGTCTTGTAATGAGCATGCGCGACTGCTGACACACCACAGGGAACCCAAAGCCAATATTCGCTACAGCGCAAAATTTCATATATTTTTTTAATCAATAAAAATATAAGGCTTCTGCTTTCTACATGAAGCTTAGTCTCTGCTAAGCCTCTCTCTTAAGCAAAAGGATTAATTTTGAAAGAGACTTGGTAATGGTTTTACACAGGTTTCCCGTCACCTATACATATTAAAATATTATTATTTTTAAATGCAACACTAATTCACTCATTCTTTCAATCGAAACCAAAAAATCATGTCCTATTTTCCAAATATAAGCTTGTTTGATGTGARTAAATTATCAACCCATCCTTCATAAATAGGGTTACTAGTATGTTTGTAAACATATACCATAACCATGGAAACGAGTTGGCCTCTGTGATGTCAGCTGAGCGCCACCTGTGACCACCGGTACGATAGACACTCTTGGTGAATTCTTCTAATGACCTGACCTTCGTGTTTTACTTTTCTTCCGAAAATAATCGTAATCTAAACATTACACTTCAGAAAACATGGTATAGAAATTTGAAATTTTTCCATTACCAACAAAATGAACATTTTGGATAAAAAGATCTTGATATTTTACGGTAAGTTGAAGCCTAAATAAATTAATGAATGTACTAGATTGGATTATATTCTACGATAGTAACATGTAACCTTTATAGTAATGTAATAATRTATACTAGCAAATCTTGCTTTGCTTACTTTAAATTTTGATTCCAGTATYATTAGTGGCGTGGAGTAGTTCAGCTGTTTGTGGCATCAAAAGTCGTGTCTGTCAAAGCGGAAAAGCACAGGTTTGTCAGTCTATGAGAGTGATCACTTGAATCGTGGAAATACGTCTTGTAAAGCGTGCAATTGGAAAACATGATCAWATCATTCAACCACAGAATTACTTTATTTTAATTTTTATATTTATATTTTATTCCATTTTATTTTTGCTCATTTTAAGTCTCATGAATGTCGAATATTTGTTTTTTCTAAAATAAGGTTTTAAATTATGAGAGCGGTGAAGTGCAGTTAAATGAAATGAAGAAAACACATATYTTTATTTATATTTTTTAACTTTAGCTCATCCTGCTGTTAAATCAAAGCAGTTGCTGCTGCAGTATGTGTCCTTCAATTCGACGACGAGGTACTTTAGTTTCGCCTCTCGAGTATAGAGCGTGCTTCAATCACTGGAATCTATAAAGGAGTGAAGGGCCAAAAAAAGGTCACGCCCAGTTATTCATGTAGTGCCGATTAAGTCTTGCGCTTATATATTCAGTATGCACGTGTTTAGAAAAGCTGTTAAAACAGTGAAACTTGAAAACTACGGTGACCTATCAAGAGGCATGCAGCAAGTTAATCGACGAGTTGCTGCAAATAAGAAACCAGTTGCTGCATTCTAGACGAATTGCTGCAATTAAAAAATGACTAGTGCAAATAACGAACGAGGTACTGCAAAATAAGAATTTAACGAATTGTTGCAAATTAGAAAGGAGCTCAAGTAATTAAYTGCGCGCATAATTGCTAAATATTAGCAAAACGGGATTTTATCTCTTTTTAAGAATATAGTGCCAAATTKATATTGATAATGCATTAAAAATAGTCTTATCTGGATGCAACAGGATTCGAACCCACTGACCAAAAATAAATAAAAAATCGATTCAATTTGCCATACCCCCGAGACATCCGCAGAGCTGAGGCGTCGTATGGACTTCGGACCTGACGGCGATTAAATCCTTCTGCCCTTGGGTGTACGAATTACGCAAGAAAATGTTCTAGCCGAAGCATCAGGGGAGAGACCAGCCGGCCCCCAGACCATATCGGCTAATCCCTTGCATCTCTGCCACGCACGGAATCGGTTGAAGAAATACTGTTAAAAAGTCTAGTCTATTCGGTGCATTGTTTTCACGGCTATTGTTATGCTGATTCACCTGGAACCGTGGTCCAGTGGAAAAAACTTGGGATTCAATTCTATGACACAGAGTCAAGTCCGGTTGAGCGAAGTTAGTATATGGATGGGTGACCTGAAACTTGTATCGGTTTATTTTTTTTTGTTTTTTTTTTTTGTTTTTTTAAAATTTTTATTCAAGTTCTTTTTTACTCTTTCAATCGATTACAATTCTCGTTGAGAATCGCTGAAAATTAAACTGCTGGAGCTTTTAATCCGTGGCCGGCAGTCTGTTATCAGCGCCAAAATTAATTTTCTAAGTATCTCGAAGAAGGTGCAATCGCCAGCTGGAATTATTAACTGATGRAATTTTTTATGCCGTAGTTTCTTCCAGAAACAGCGCAAGACACGACAAAGCGATTAGCTGACTTACGATCCTTGATGAGTGACGTTAAACTAACTGGTCAAGAGGATGGGGTGCAGGCATACATTATACCATCTTCTGATCCACATCAAGTAAGCTATAACAAAACGATGTCTCCAAATGACCGCCAGCTGGTCAAAACACGAACCCGCAAACTGTATGTCCTATCAAGATTAAGAAGTGAAAACCCTCATGRCAATAAAACACATCAAACAAACTCAACRCACTTATGTGGCTAGTCGAGATCCAACCACTCAGCGATGAGACGCCCGGCTAGAAGCGCATGCGCATGCGCAGCGCAGGCATGCTATACCCAAACCTTCAATGAACGAGGTTCCAAGCAACATAACCAACTTAATCTTTAATCATTTGACAGACTGAAGATGTTGCATTAGAACACAAAAGGAGGGAGTTTATATCAGGATTCACTGGGTCACATGGTAAGAACCTCTTTTCCTCAGTCATATGTCACTTCCACTTCCGGTTCGAACATGTCTTGATAAAATTATCGGGTACTTTCTTATTCTAATACGCTTCTTATTCTGATACGTCTATCCAATCCATCTCATCCATCTATACTAGGAACGGCAATCGTAACGATCGACAAAGCAGCCCTGTGGACAGATGGACGTTATTTCTTACAAGCAGAGATGGAGTTAGATTGTAACTGGGAGCTACAAAAGGAAGGTAATGTTTTATTTGATTGTGCATTTACATGACAAGGTAAAGCGAAGAAAATAAGGAGCGGATTAAGAATTTTAAGACAAAATGTTCTGTGTGATGACGGGAAGGTAAGCTACATTAGAGCACTGATYCTTTCTCTTGAGTATTATGGCTTTGTTTAACTTAGCACTCGACAGGATACATTGATGTGGCTGCAACGGTTAATGGTTTTTAGCAATGCATTTATATTATTGTTATTGTAATGTGCAATTGATAATATCTTCATGAACTGCAAAGTATAAATTATTATTGAATTATCAATTATTAATATATAACTATAATGAATAAATTTGATTGTATATTAGGTCTTCCTTCTACACCAAAATTCGGTCAATGGCTGAAAATGGTAAGAATATTTCAGAATAAAAAGACGTAGTTACTATTCATTAAGTAWGTCTTGTTTTCTAACTRTTTCCTCTTCTCATTCGGTAAATACCGCTGTGTTTTATGACTTATTTGTACAGGCTTAGCCTAGCAAATCGTTTTAAAAGTTAACTGTAATTTGAAGAATCATATACCAATGTTTTGAAATCCCACAGAATTTTAATGGTATCTGTGAATAGTTTACATATAGACGAAGCTAAGCCTGTACGAATGTCTATGATCTTCAAAATTGAGCAGTATGTACCGAATGCGGAACTGGTGTATTGACTGTTGCAAATTGAGTTTGTTTTGGGGGCCGGGAAGGCGCATCTTGAGAAACATTTTTGCCACCTTTACCCAGGTCTCCATAACCAAAATCCCATATATTAGTAATGAACCTTGATCACCCCTCTTTAGGCAGATTKTTCAGTGTTTATAAAGCTAATGGTGGACTTTTGATACTTGTAGAATATTCCAGCCAACGCTAGTGTAGGTGTCGATCCTTTTCTGCTATCAGTCTGTAAGTATCTCGGATGAAAATTGAGTAGTATTAATTACAGAAGGAAGTCATTACCAGAATAGTCTCCCCCACAGCCGCTTTCAATGTCGTCACGCAACGCTTCCTCCCCTCAGGGGAGAAAGCGTTGCGTGACGACACTGAAAGCGGCTGTGGGGGAGACTATTACCAGAAGCGTCCATCTTCTCCTTAGTAAGCCTTTACTAATTTGACTTTGAAGGCAACCACATTTCCATATAAGGTTTCCTTTGCCAGTCAGCCAATCACAGATCGAGCGTTAAAACTAACCAATCACGACTTAGTATTTAAGGGGAAAACCCGGGGGGGGGGGTACTCCCCTATATTTGCTATACGGGTATGTGTCGCCCTATAGGGTACTCAGCATCATTAAGGCATGGCTCTCAGATGAAAAACTGTTTAGCTATATCATAGCCAGTTTTCTACGAATCTTCCCCAAACTTGGCAAGTTAATGTCTTTTGTGAAAAGAAGGAACCTTAGAGCCTTGGTAACCATGGATACTAAGTCACGTGACCACAAGGCCGCCATCTTGGATTTTTAAACAAGCCGTTTGAAGACGTACCGAAACATCTTTAAAAGTCATGAAAATGCAGATTACTATTCATATTTACAATGCCTATATGGATCTAATTGGATATCTTGGAAAATATTTTAAGTTTAATTTTTAGAATATTTTCTATTTNTTCCAGCCAACGCTAGTGTAGGTGTCGATCCTTTTCTGCTATCAGTCTGTAAGTATCTCGGATGAAAATTGAGTAGTATTAATTACAGAAGGAAGCCATTACCAGAATAGTCTCCCCAACAGCCGCTTTCAGTGCATTTGCATCGGATATTTCGAATTAAATTATTTTTTAAGCTTTGTTATTATTTTGTTTTGTTTTTTAATCGTTTTTCTTTTTAAATAGGTGATTGGGAAAAACTTTCTACGGTATGTAATATCTTTGTACAATCTATTTATCTCTACCAACATTGTCCAGTAATTTAAAAAATCAGTTCATCACGTCGTGCAAGGTCTCTTTATTCCTTTAGACATCGCAATGCTTTGTTACCGGAAGCCCTTGTTTTAAAGTCCTTATTTTCCACTTTTTTCACAAGACATCACAATTCTTTGTTATTCTTGGCAAAGCCGTTTAATTAATTTTGTTTTATTGTTCCAGAAACTTCAAAGTCAAGACATCAAACTTGTACCGATAAAAGAGAATCTAGTGGATCGTATTTGGACGTCACGGCCGACAGGGAACAAGAAACCAATATATGTACTGGGACTTCACTTTACAGGTACTGAAAGTAAATTAGTCACTAAACATCATGAGTTGAGGGCAATTGTAGGCCACACTGTACCATAACCATATTTAAGTATTATTATCAATATGAAATCGTCAATTCTAATATTTTTTTCCAAGGTAAATCCTGGCAAGACAAAGTACAAGATGTTCGACKGCAGATCCAAAAGAAGAACGCAACAGCCGTAGTACTACAAGCACTGGACGAAATAGCTTGTAAGTCAAATATTAATAAAAAATTACCTAGGACCTAGAACAGATCYCGGGGGAACACCACAGGCTGCATCAGTCGCGTAAGGAATGTATAWTATTACAGTACAAACAAAAGGACCAAGCGCATAGCTGTGAGAAACCCCATGCCCACAACAACCGGTTACAGTGAGTTTGGCACTTACACAAGTTATATAGTAAAACTGAAAGAGGACCCAGAACAGTCCTCGGAGGAACACCACWGGTTACATCAAGTATTACATTCACATAAAAAGTGCATGCAGTAAAACCAAAGAGGACCAAGTCATTAGCTGTGAGGAACTCCACAAATAGCATTACAAGTAATACAGTAAAAGCAAAAGAGGACCCAAAACAGATATCTGARGAATACCTCAAGTCACTAATTTTTCCTTTGTTCTCCGCAGGGACATTCAGCCTTCGTGGACATGATATCTCTTTTTCGCCAGTGTTTTTCTCTTACGCAATTATAACATTAAATGAAGCGATGTAAGTAGACACTTGCCACAGCAGATTCTGTTTGATTCTCTCCGTACTCCGCGCTGAAACCTGACAGTTGCCCTAAGAGAACTAATCCGACGTTCAAATTCCATAAAATCGTGGATTTTTCCGGCCCATTTTTCAAGATTGATGTCAGCATTAAGTAGCTAGAGATTTTAACATTATYTTTATTTGGTTGTTTTAAAAACAATCCTATGCCTTTTTCTAGATTATTTGTCGACAAGCAGAAAGTACCAAAGAATGTCGAACAACATCTCAACACTAATCTCTGCAGCACTACAGCCTTCTGTGTTAAGATTGAACCATATTCATCCGTGCTGAACGTCTTGCAGCAGCTCGCCAAAACGTCAGCCAACAAAATATGGGTATGTAATATACATCCCAGTAGAACCCTTGGGTACGGACATTTTTCTACCTCGGACGCTCCCTTTGTTCTTTTACAAACAGACCTCTATAAGACGAACATTTACGGACACTTCTCGGCAGCACTTTTTCATTCACTGACAAAACAGATCATGCAGTAAAACAGASTTCTATAATATGGACACCCCTCTATTATGGACAATTCCTTTAGTCTATTTTGCACTTATTTACTTATAAACAGACCTCAATAATACGGGCACCTCTATATAACGGACACTTCCTTTGGTCGCTCCTGAATAAACGTATTCACTTATAAACAGACCTCTATTATACGGACACCTCTCTATTACGGGCAGTTGGCTTCGTTGCTTCGGTTCCCACATGCTATAGAGGTTTGACTATAATTCCATTTTTCCATTGTTTTGTTGGTGATAAGACTGCTTTGTTATTGATATTTCAGATTACTCCCTCTTCTAGTTATGCTTTACGGATGGTAATTCCTGATGTAAGTACATTTTCTTGCTGTTTTTCGTTGTACTTGTTGTTGTCTGGAAACATCTATTCAAAAGTAWTTTTTTCTTAAGTTATTCTGTTTTGAATTTTTTTACTCAGGATAAGTACGTCTCAGCAGCATCACCTGTAGCCTTGCCTAAAGCAATTAAGAATAATGTAGAGATTCAAGGAATGAAGAATGCAAATGTAAGATCTTATAATTTTAGGATATTGTTACAATATCACGGTCTCATCTTCTTCTTCTTTTTTTCTAATCCTAACCCAACGTTCGTTTTTTCTGGATTTCAGATCAGGGACGGAGTCGTGATCAGTGAATTTTTTGCCTGGCTGGAAAGAGAGGTACTCAGGACTCTAGCTATTCAAATTCGTACGAACGGAAAAACGGAAAACACAGTGCCCTCCACCCGATCACCCGTGTACAATTCCGTTTATTGAAAACTTACAAACTTGCAGCCCATTTGATAAAAATTCCGCACAAGACCGGAAATGACGTCTATATATATATATATATATTATAAACCTATTCCTTTGGTTGCTACTTCTTAGGTTCAAAACCAGTCACCTGATTTGACAGAAATATCTGCCGAGGAACAACTTTTAAAGTTCAGAGAGTATGTATATATTGCTGTATATCTATTCGTCCTTGGCTTTGTTCTATAGCCCTTTCAGTTCAAAGTGCATTCTGGTCTAGCTTGGGTAGAAATGACATCACTTATATGGCATGATAAACTAAAGATGTTTCTACCCAAGCTAGACCACAATGCACCATGTTCTCTATATCAGGAAAGGTCTATCCAACTTGAGTTCAAACAACACCCTATATGGCTCGATAATCCAAAAGTTAATACCCAAGCTAGACCAGAATGCACCATGTTCGCTATCTCAGCATGTCACAAAATTATATGTGCAAACTTTTTAAGTTATTACTTAACATTTCTCAACGCAGGCAGCAAGAAAATTTTATCAGTTTAAGCTTTGCAACAATCGCTGGGTTTGGCGAAAACAGTGCTATTATCCATTACAAGTGAGTCTGACATAATTGCTATTATAAGCACCTTGCAGCTCCTTTCCTCTCCTTTCCTCTCCTCTCCTCTCCTCTCATTGTAAATTACTAGCTATGTATTTGATTGCTTTTCATGACAGGGCAAATAACTTTACCAAGGTACAGATTACTGACAAAGGTTTTTTCCTGTTGGACACTGGAGCCCAGTACAAGTGAGTATATCGCGATATGAGAGATTTTCATTTCGCCAAATAGTAATGTTCTTGCTGAGATCGTTTGGCATCGCTTCGCAAGATACGAAATGATTTATCTTGTTTTCAGAGATGGTACAACAGATACAACAAGGACTGTGCACTTTGGGACACCGAACCAGCATGAAATTGTAAGTATTGACCTCTCGTAGCACGTCGGAATGCAGCTTAATTTGGAGGACATAACAATAGGTTTCCAGTTCTTAGGAGATTGAAATTCTTTTGTTTTGTCCAATCTCATCCATTTATCCAGCCATCGTTTTATTTTWTTTTTTTTCCAGGACAGTTATACCCGAGTTTTGATGGGACATATAGATATCGCAATGGCCGTCTTTCCTAACGATACTCACGGCAAGTAAAAATTCTACTCTCAACTTTGATTGACTAAGTATAGTCTAAAATTCCGCGTAAAGATTAACAAAAGCGAATAACCCCAGTTTGGTATAATTTTTGGTTGGTTATGACTAACAGGTCGTACTCTTGATGTATTCGCAAGGGAACCTCTGTGGAGAGTGGGGCTTGATTACAGACACGGTACAGGACATGGAATAGGTCACTTTCTCAACGTACATGAAGGTGAGTGTGTAACGTACTTTATTTCTGATATTTTCCGTCCACCCACACGCCTTTACTTATTGGTATTTATGTGAGCATGATTTGTATGGTGCATTCTGGTCTAGCTTGGGTACAGTTTTTATCCTTCGGACCATGACTGGTATTAGCCGTTCCGAGATTGAGGAAAAAGAACTGGGTCGAGTTGGCAGTGCCGAGTGCATTATGGGATTGTTTAGGGGACATATTTGGCGGCTATTTAGGAATGGTTAATTGTGTTGCGTGTGTCTCTTATGGATTAGGAGTATTTTTCTCTTTCATTTCAAGGACCTCAGTGTATTTCCCCAGGATTTCCATTGGAAGACGAGCGAGTTCTGACCAAAGGAATGATTCTATCTGACGGTAATAAATAGATTACTTTCACGTTGTAGTGCAGCCTTGTTGGCGGTATTCAACGATTATGTACCACAACATACCTGCAATACCTTTGTTGTTAGAATCTTTTCTAGATGCCTTCAATATCTAAAAAATAATAGTGATTATAGTTAAAAAAGTCATTGTAAAATTTTAAAGTAAAAAAAATTAAAATAAGAACTCTTCCCACACCGGGAATCGAACCCGGGCCACGGCGGTGAGAGCGCCGRATCCTAACCACTAGACCATATGGGAATCAGACGTCTTATACTATTATTTTTTGAGTTTTATTAATACAAATATTAAAGTATTTCAAGTATTATTCATAAAGGGCATTTAATTTCCCGCGGAATAGAAATGATTTTCTAAAACTCAATGAATCCTATGAATAAATCCTTTCCGGTCACGTGGTAACTTTGCCGTACATGGGCCTACGTCACACACCGCATTACCTCTTATGGCGGCGMGAAGCATTCATGCCGGAGATTTCAACTCCATCTGAACTGGAGGCAAAGTTAGATAAATAAAATTTTGTACACTAGGAATAAAGATTTCATTCTGCTTTCGGAATAATAGCAAACGTTTTTTCAATTTCCGCTGCGATCTGGAAAAAATATTTTGCGGATAATAGATGGCTTAATAATAATATATAATAATATCAGTACAATAATATCAGTCATTATCAGTTATTTCCTTTTTTTTAGAGCCTGGTTACTACGAAGATGGTCAGTTTGGAGTGAGAATTGAAACAGCAGTTTTAGTAGAATCTGCCAACACTCCCGTAAGTCACCACAACATACACTGATAGACTTCCGCCAAAAATAAGAGGGACAGAATCACCAACATGATCAAATTCATGGCGTCATTTGGCTACTACTACCAGAATCCCTTGCACGCTTTCATTTTTTCAGTCAYTACAATAAAATAAGAAAGAAAATCCGCGAAATATTTTGGTCGTGGTGGTAAAATGACACCATCATGCAAACGGTATATTCTCTACTTTCACATCGCTCATAATACTTTCCATTCTGGGGGTTTTAAACCAATTAACAAAAAAACTGTCCAAAAATGAAACGTTATTCAGTCGAATATACTCTATACCTGCTTTAGTCTGTAAATATATATCTGATTATAATGCAGATTATAACTTTGTTTTTCATCCTGTTATTCCAATCTTTTCTCTTTTTTAGTTTAACTTCAACAAGCTTGAATACCTCAAATTTGAACCAATTGCTTTAGTAAGTAACGAAGAACGGTATATTCGTGGTGTGTGGGYAGCGGTTGAATTGTGGGCACATGCACGCGCATCTTATAATTAGCGGTAGAATTGTAAACTCGTGCGCGCATCTTATAATCAGTGGTCAAAACGTGGATTCATCTAATGATCATTAATTAAAATATCATTAATAATGTCCTTATATTATCTTTGTTCGTTTTTGTTTTTTAGGTTCCCTTTCAAAGAAAGCTCATCAATACGTTGCTGATGAAGCCTTCACAGGTGAGTTATCTCAGTATACTTCCCGGTTAGGACGTTCCTTTCCAAATCTGTTTGAGTAACCACAATACAATGGCTTCAAGGCGAGGTCAGTTGAATTAATGTTATATACACTATATTTTATCAAATCCAACCTCCACTTGGAGTCATTGTACTTGGTCATTAGAGCAGATTCAGGGAAAGAATTTGGTCAAAAGCGTTTGTGGTTCGCAAGGCAAATATTTAATTATGTAGGCACACGTGTAGTGTCAGCAGTTTGACATTCGAACGAGGCAAATGAAGTATACAGTTGCGCATTGTATTGACCCTTTCGCCTCATTTTCATGACTGTAAGAAGCCTGGACTGCAGGCTCAACTATATTAGCATAACTTAACTGTAATACTATGCATTTTGTTTGAAAAGCACGTTATGAAAGTCGCTTTCTGTTTTATCTTGAAATTCAGATTGCATGGTTGAATGAGTACCATTCTCGGACACGTACTCTAATAGGAGCTGAATYAAAGCGACAAGGAAAGATACAGACTCTACAGTGGGTGATAAAAGAGACACAAGCCATTCCATTGCCTGATTATAAATCTGTTACGATTAGTTAATGATGTTGGTATAGGTAATCATATGGTTTGGAGTACAATTAGGATTTAATTTGCACAAGGGGTTTTTCAAAGAGCTTCAAAATAGCAGGAGCAAATTATAATTTTTCTGCTCTGGTTAACTGCACCGCACTCAGCTAATCAGAATTGAGTAACTTATTCATGTACATGATTAGATCAGATATGTTAGCTAATGTTGGGGCGTTTAGCACATATTGATATGGTGATCCATTAGGGACGTGCTGCAAGTTAAACGAGTTGCTGCAAATAAGAAACGAGTTGCTGCATCTTAGACGAGATGCTGCTACAAAAAACAAAGGAGTTGCTGCAAATAAAAAAGTACCATATGAACAGAAATTATAGCAACATACAAAGAGAAATATTGGGATCAAAACTAAGTGGAATCAGTAAAAGATCTTGTCAGTAAACTGTTCCCAGTTAGCAACTCGTCTAACTTGCTGAATGTCCTTATGGGTTAGGGTTAAGCGAACATGTGAGAAGATTCTAAACTGGGTTTTGTAAGAAAAATTAAAAGCAATTTCTAGAAGCAACGCATTCAGCAAAAAAAAACAACAACCACAAAGGAAAACAGACAGACAGACAAACAAACAAGCAAGCAAACTATACCTGTACAGGTTACAAACAAATAAAAGAAAATGTTAAAAGACAACGACAATAGCAACTCTAGCATTATATGCAAGATTATATCTTATCGAGTAGTGCTATAGATCACAATACTTACGCTTAATGTATAAARAGTGTCCTTTTTGGACGGACAACATTTTTTGAAATAGGTAACATATATATTGAATATAATATCTTATATATTCTATTTCCTGGCTAAAGCAAGCATGCTTAAATAAAGTAAACCGCTGGCCGGTACAAATTGGGGCTCGTGAGTTTGTATATAAAGTTTTTATTTCATTTACATGAAGAAGGAAGCTGTAAAGATTGATTTGAATAAAGCAATGCTGACAAATGTGTCATTAAACAGAGAAAATGGCTGAACAACAGTAAATGTAACAAATGGCGTACAAATATATTTTTACAATAACTTACGAATTTCTCGCTCGCTGATTGGTTATTTTTTATCATCAATAAGAGGACAGACAGATAAAGCTGACGTCAACGAGCGCGCGCTCTTTCCGCGCGCTCTTTCCGCTCTTATTGACAATAAATCGCGTCATCACATTGTCAAAGTAGTATGCGGATCCACTCGGCTACGCCTCGTGAATCCACACTACTTTGACAATGTGATGACGCGATTTATTGTCAATAAGAGGACAGACACATAAAAATCTGATGTCAATTTGTTAAATTGTTACAGGTTGTTGGGTTTATAATTGCTGTTGGTTCTTTTGAGAATAAATTCGTCAAATATTTTTCATTACGCGATCTCAGTGTTGTTATGTAGCTTGGCGTAGTCATAAGAGTAGACCATTTGCCGATGATAGTTATAGCAACCCTACAAAGATTCATTATTTCAGGTGTTGTTTATATCCGCCTACAAAACTTGTCTTATTGCCAAATTTTCTTATCCAAATATGAGTGATATCAATTTTTTTCTTTCCTTTTTTTCTTCATTTGTATGAAATGACAAAGTGTATTATGGAGTGTGTTGATTGTGGCAGCATCTTAGGACCGCAGCTCTCAAACATGTTGACTTAAAGCTATAATGAATTACATATTCAGTTTTAAACAAATATTTTCCTTATAACTGCGCTTAGTTATTAAACTTTGTCTGAGAGGGAAAAAAATTCATTATACTTTAAAATTGTAAGCTTGATTGATTTTAAAGTAWAAAAAAACATACAATAGAAGAAAGAGCCGAGTCAGAAGTATTAAAAACAACTTTTTGACAATGTCACTTCATGAAGAATTTAAAGCCGTCCAGCTGCCCTGTTGGTACCAAATATATGCTCGAACTTCTCAACAGAAACGATGATTCAAAGCAAGAGAAAGAAAATATAGATATAAAATACGAGTGAGTCAAATGATGAAAGAAGTTTTGCTAAACAATCCGCGGCTAAATGTCTTAGTTTCCGTGCTCATTCGTTTGATAATACTGGTCGTAGGATTGTTTGGAAATGGTTTGGTGGTGTTAGCTGTTTGGAAAAAACGCACATTACGAACGACAACGAACTTATTATTGCTGAACCTCGCCATTTCTGATCTTACAACTCAGGTTTTTTGCACATTGATGTTTATCCCGGAGTTTACGACATTAGGACATCGGCCCTGGTCTGATATCTTTTGCATTTTATTCGTCTCAACTAACGTACCATTAACGACAACTTTCGTGTCGATCTTGACACTGACTGTACTCGCTGTCGAGAGGTACCATGCTGTTGTAAAACCGATGAGAAGTGAAATAAGATTAAGGGAGGACACTGTAAAGTATGCTTGCCTCGCTGTTTGGCTTGCAGGGATTATTCTAGCACTTCCACTTTATATTTTTGGTCGGTATGATGAAGAATCAGGCAGGTGTCTCCATGGCTGGAAAGACGGTGTGTTTGGATATCAGAGCTACAGAATCTTTCTTGCTGTTATTATTGTTCTCCTTCCATTTCTCATCATCAGTTTTTGTTATGGCCAAATCCTTCATGATTTGTACTTCAAGAACAAAGTGGGACCACAGAACATAGCATTGCAACAAGAAACTCGTGAAAAACGTAAACTCTTTAAGATATCCATGACGGTGACCGGGGTTTTTGCTTTATTTTTATTCCCTTATGCTATTTTTAATGGTCTTAGGGATGATACGGGGAACTTGTGGTCAAGAGTTGCAAGGTTAGTTTTCTTCTCTCAGTCGGGTTTCAATCCTCTTATTTACTCGTTTCAAAGTACAAATTTCAGGCAAGCCTTCAAGGAAATCTTTGTTTGTCGAGCTTGTTAGCACGCCCTTGGAGAACTCAAGGAAGCAAGGAAGCAAGGAAGCAAGGAAGCAAGGAAGCAAG